GGCCTGTTCCCCTGAGATATCTTTATATATTAAAAGAGAACTCAAGTCCAGAAATTTGCCTGTGATTTTTGTTGAGGTTATCCATTGGTGCTGAGAGAGGAGAATAGACTTTCGTCTTCTTGAGTCATTTAAATTTTTTGTTTTTCAAGAAGGCAAAGATGTAGTTCTAATCAGCTATAATTCATTAATAGTAGAATCATCTTATTTAAAGCATATAATTGATAGGTGAGCCCACTGCATGGGTAAACATAAAAAAAGTATGTTAAAGGAAACTCAGAAATACTGAGACCTAGTCACTGAATTTATTGAGTGACATTGCTTAGTAAAATTATATAGATTTTAAGTGTACTACTTTACAATACATCATCTGTATATTGTATTTTGTGTTCACCACCCAAGTTAAGTCTCCTTGCATCACTATTTACCCGTTTTCCCTCTTCTACCTCCCCCATCCCCTTTCGCCTCTGGTAATCACCATACTATTGCCTGTGTCTATGAGTTCTTTTTTTTTCTTTTTTGCTTAATCCCCTTACCTTTTTCACTAAGCACCACCCCAAACCCATCCCCTCTGATATCTGTCAGTCTGTTCTGTTTCTATGAGTCTGTATTTTGTTTGTTTATTTTGCTCATTAGATTCCACATATAAGTGAAACCATATGGTATTTGTCTTTCTCTGACTGGCTTGTTTCATTTTCTTTACTCTCCTATTTACAAAAGGGAATAGATTTGACACTCTGGAAATCAGTTGGAAGTACTGAGTCTATATTGTGGACAAAATTTCCCAAAATATTTTATGACGGTATTTTTTCTTTTTTACTAAAAGAATGAAATTCTCACCTTAGCAGTAGCCATTGGATTAGTTAAAAGGTATCCAATCCTCTGGTTAAATAAATATAAAGGAGAATTGAATGTAGAGTCTCTGTCTTTATATTTTCTTTGAGGAGACAAAACTAACTTACATGACAGAGTAAAAAAATAGTTAAGTGCTAAATTAAATGGCATGGAATTAATTACAGTGTTTGAGACCATCTTATATTTAATAAGGGGGTCGGTAGTTCTTTGGAAGTCAAGAACATTTTTGAGATGGGTCCATTTGATAGCTATGTCATAAACCCTTTCCCCAACTTTCAAAACGATTTTTTCACAGAGAACTTTATGTTCAAAGGAAGGAAGAAAACCTAAGTGAAAGTTTTCCTGTAACTTTGAAACTAGAAGATGTTAGAAGTGAAAAAAATCACTGATTGTTTTAAATTATTTTGCAGCCACTTTCTCTGTTGAACTTGCATTTGAAAAGCTCTGTAACAGCCCAGTATGTCCACGAGGAAGGGAAGAAGGTAACAGAAGCAGTTTGTATGAGGATGCTGCCTGACAATGCTGCCATCCTTTAACATGGTTTTATTTAGTTATTACAGCTCTCTCTCCATAAATGACATTTAGGATTACTTAAGATTATGTTGTAATCCTTCTAATCCTTAGTGCTTTAAATTTCAAGCTAAACACTAAACAGCAAACTAGCACTTATTGGGAATGTTTAAAACATGTGATTTGAACATAAATCTTTTTATTCATTCCTTCCCTGATGAAGACCTAGTGTTGCTCTTAAGTTAACTAAGAAAATCCGTACCACAGTTCATTCCAAATCACTAGGTTTTTAAATGTTTTCTCAAGCTATATCAAACTTGTGATGGTCCTTGACAATTATGCTAAATGCACAATTAAACAAAAGTTAGCAGCAGTGAATATTTACTAATTTAACTTAGAATTTATATAACTTTTTATAAAGACAAAGTGTCTTTCTGTGTGTGTGTGTGTGTGTGTAAATGGTCACTGTTTCCCAAGGTCAAGCTCTTCGATGTAGGTATACACATACACTGTATGTGCATGTACCTATATATGCTTACACTTTTTAAGTTACATAATATGACTTGTCTGTATATACTTTATAGAAGTTGCTAATAATTTAAAAAAATTTATTATTTATTAAGAAGTACCAATTAAGCCAAACACTGTCTGTTAATAATACAGACAGATGTTCTTGAACTCAGCCAGACAACATCACTGTGATTTACAGAGAGTTGTTGAATACTAAGTCTTAATACTTAATTATTATTGTCACTGTTATGTTAGCATGTACCAATCAAATAAGATTGAATCTACATCAAAAGTTGAATAAAACTTTGACTATGAAGGAAATTTGGCTTTTAATACGAAAAGGAAATGAACAACTCAAATGTCCAAATGGCATATTACAAAGGAATGAAACAAATTAAATCTTTCTCTCTTTTTTTCCCCTTTTGTCACAAATATGTGCATCTGAGTCTTTTAAGCATATTTTAGGCACATAATTTTTTGTTTGTTTTCCTACTCATTTCAAGATTGACTTGTCTGCAGACACTGTAATTATGTAGCATATAACTGCTAATCCATCAACTTTTTAAAGACAGATTTCAAATTTTAAACTGTTTCTAATTTTTCTCTTCTACAATTTTTTTCTTGAACCAAAAATCTCAATCGCCATTTGCTATCTGTAATCTATAATTCATTGAATGAGATTGAACATCAAGCCTAATTCAAACTAGGGATTCTAAAGCTGTTTCTGATGTAGCACATCAACTGTGATGGATTTTTTCAGACAGGAAGAAACACTTCATTATTCTGTAGGTAATGTAACCCTTGCACACACACATTCCAACATCCAACAATGTCTTAATACCATGTTTTTGAAGTATAATCATGTTTATTCTGATCATTTGAGAGTTAGACCAGCTAATGTAGCTAATCAAATATTGATGCAAGTCAGCTCTCTGGCAAATCCTTCCCAATGCTTTTTTTTTTTTTTTGCTAACAGAACTATAAAAACTATTTATACTGTTTCTCTCAAAAGACTTACTCCCATAGTATGTATCTATAGATACCTATTAGTACATGTTATTAAGCTCATGTGTTTACCTAAACTCATGTGTTCAGGTAATAAGAAGGATGACAAAAAATGTCACATAATTCACCCCAAAAAGAACAAAGCAGGAAATGAAATTTGAATCTTTCATTAACTTTGTTAATCACAACATCCTTATAATCATCTTCTGTTTCTCTAAACTAAATGGTTTACAAGATAAAAAAAAAAAAGATAAAATGGATGTTAGAACAGTGCGGTTCCAGGAACTGCTCAGGTGCCTTACAAACACAGCTAACTGGCAAGACTGTCACCTCCAGAAAGCTACTGAAAGTGAGAATGATTTTTAATATCTCTTTAAGTACCTATATTCACAAATATGAAAAACAAGTAAAAATATGACAGGAGATGGTTAGTCATGTTCAGTTAAAGATTAGGATGATACATATCATTAATACAGGTGGCTGAAATGTCTATGGTTTTTTTTGTTCTTACCTATATAAAATTATACATACATTTTTTCTTTGATATTTGTGGTCCTACACATATATCATATATATTTGACTATCATCCTCATTTGTAATCTAATTTAACTTTTGTAAGGTTGATTAGAAGGAACTAAAAAGGGCTGCTTTAGCCCAACTCCAAGAATTCTATTGTCAAGAATTACTTAAATGTCAAATTTTCATGTCTTCATTTTAAAACATTGGTGACTAGGACACTGAAGTCACAACGTGTAACAAAACTAAACAATGCAGCTCTCACAACTCAGTTCAGAACTGATCCTGAGGCTAGGATTAGAACTTCCAAACTCTGTTATTTACAGAATAACAAAAACAGTAAGATGATGGGAGATGGAATATATCACTGACCTACAATTTCTCACTTTAAAATAAAATGTATTTGTCCTTCTTGATTTTAAAAATTCACATTTTATTCACTTTTGACTTTTGTCTTATGATTTCTAGGCAACTATGTTTAGTTTTCTCTTTTTTTTCTATCTTTTTTAGGGGGATATAAAACATTGTATCAAAAGGAATTTCTAAACAGAATAATACCAGACCCAAAAAGATAATTTATTCTAAAATATGTTGAAAGTTGTGTTTCTTTTCATTAGCAAGGGTCAAAAGTATTTGGATAAATCTGAATTAATATCTGAAAAAATGAAGAATGAACTAGAAACCAGTTTTTTTTTCCAGTGAGAGTTCAGATAGAAAATGTCACCAACCGATACTTCCATAAAACCAAGTATATTAATTTCTATGATGCTGAATTTTCTCCATGACCCAAAATAATCTTAGAAGACAATAAATATATTAATTATAATAATTAAGTTCCTTGGATACTAAATAAGTCATAAAATATATATTTGAAGTTATTGATTACTTTAGAATATAAAAGTGAATTAAATATCATATAAATATAGAAAAGATATAGAAAAACCTCTATAATCTAAAGTTATTAATTGCCAAAGGGATTTTAGTAACATCAGATGTTAAATATTAAGTTTTCCCATTTCCTTTGTTTTATTTTCAAAAAATTCATCTGGATTTTTCCATTCAGTGAAACATGATTGGAATTATTAATCACAGTTATTTTTCTCCAAAATTAAGGTATGTAATACAAAAAGATCCAATTTTTTTAGCTGTTGAACTCTCTGTGTCTGCACCCCCCTCCCACCACCGACAAATCACACTAGTAAGTATAATTTATGACTAGGTGGTAGAAATGGCAATGAATGTAAATAGTTTATCATAATTAGTGAAGGTCTACATAAAATTTATTTAAGTCAGGCATTTTAGGTTTGAACCCCAAAGAGTTAGTAAATACATTGCAAAATTCAATGACTTTCAGGTATAGAATTAATCAACACACAACATATATTTGTTGTTTATATAGCAGCCAGTCATGAGAGTAAAAGAACAAAACAACTCAAAATTCAACAAGACAGAGGAGTCAGTTTTCCACGATGACTTTTGCACAACTCAATGCCAATGAAAATGCTCATGAAAACATCACCACAAGGTGGTCTTGTTTTGATCACCCACAAGACCTCACTCAGATTTAGAAGGAATAGGAGTAAACTGATAATAAGTAACAGTCTTACCTGAAAGACATTCTTTCTGCTTGATTTTTCTTTGGCCCACTCAATATGTGCTCCACACAAATCCACACTTTCTGGTTTGTTCCCAGCTTTCTGTTAAAAAAAAAAAAGAAATAAGACTAAAAAGTATACAACATTGGTGATATATGTCAGAAAAAATGTTTGAGTTAGCAGCTATACATATTCATAATATTAAGCCTGCCCCTCCCTCCCTCCCTCCCTCCCTCCCTCCCTTCCTTCCTTCCTTCCTTCCTTCCTTCCTTCCTTCCTTCCTTCCTTCCTTCCTTCCTGTCTCCCTGCCTGCCTGCCTTCTTTTCTTTCTTTTAATTTCTTTTCTTTTTTAAAAAATTTCAAGGAGGTATCTGAACCTTCACATCTTTTGCAGTATTATTTACAATAGTCAAGACATTGAAACAACCAAAGTGTTTGTCAATGGATGAATAAAGAAAATGTCACACACACACACACACACACGAAAATTTTTTCTGCCATTAAAAAGAAGGAAATCTTGCCATATGTGATGACATGGATGAACCTGAAGGGCATTGTGATAAGAGAAGTAAGTCAGACAGGGAAAGATGCATTCTCCATCATCTCATGTGTACTAAACATGTGGAATCTAAAAGGCTGAATTCATAGAAACAGAGAGCGGCTATCATGCATGGGTGGGGAAACAGGGAGTTGTTGGTCAGAGGGCTCAAACTGTCAGCTGTGAGACAAGTAAGTTCTGGAGGTCAAAGGTACAGCATGATGACAAGAGCTGACACTGTTCTGTCTGTTTGGAAGTGGCTAAGATGGCAGATAGTTATGCACATGGCATGCACACACAGGTAGCCATGTGAGGTGATGGATGTGTTAACTAACCTTAATGTGATGATAATTTTATAACATATACAGGGTGGGGCAAAGGTACGTTCACAGTTGCCTGTATGGATACAGTAATTAAAATATCAAGGCAAGAATAAACTCTGTTTTATGTATGCAGAACTGTAAACCTACTTTTGCCACACCCTCTACGTATATCAATTCATACACTTCAAATTTACACAAGTTTGTTGTCAATTGTACCTTAATAAGGCCCAAAATATAACAAATTTAATTAATATTTATTAAGTGGCAATTGTGTATCTTTTTTAGAAATTCACCTTTCAGACTTTTAAGATTATACACATAAGTGTATGTTTATTTGTATTTAATAAATTTAACGTAGACCAAGTGGATTTTAGCATATGCTTCCTTTTACACAGCATGATGTGGGTGTTACTTAAAAGCTGTTTTAACTTCTTTAATTCATAATACTCAGTTAGTGAGAGTATCATCTATACTTGCCTCTTCACATTTTCATTTGGTTTAAGTGAGTCATACTTATATAACTTTAAATTTTCATAACTCCAAATATTAAACAAAAGCTTACTAGTTTGGAAAATGTCTATTATTTTTAAAGAACATGTTGCCATATTTGAATGACTCCTCTATTTTCATATGTTCTGAGCTACTCTAGATTTTTCTATAAATTCGGTACTTTTCTCAAGCCATTTTTCATAGAATAAAATTTTAGTATATAAGTCTTATAATATTTTTATGTAATTTTTAACAATATAAACTTTAGGTTAAAACCTAAAACTAGCACAGAATAGTAAAAATGTTAAAATAAATCTGCAAAATTGTTGTTTTATAGCCACTATGACTAATTCTATCAGTTTAAGAGACAGACTATTTTTCAGAAGAAGCCAGATATCTGGGGTTTTTTATACTAAATTGTAAAGTTTTGGGGGGAACTCAATAAAATCATTGCTCTTTTGGGGGGGGAAGACACTGTACAAGCCAAGCATAACTTCCCTTCTGAATAAATTCAGCTGGCAGGACAGCAACCGATAGCATAGCTTTCTTTTGTTATTTGATAGTAACCTATGAGAAACCCATCAAGCTGAGCATGAGTCTCACAGACGCTTCAGTCATTGAAATGTTTTCACTGGTTCATCCACACTCTGTCACTCAGGTGGCCACTATTGTGCAAAATATCCACCATGGACATGATCATTGTTGAGTGATTTATGACATAAAAGAAATTACAAAACACCCTGCTTCTTCTACAGTTAATTAAATTATGGGATACTCAGAACGAAAAAAATAATCATTAAGACTGTGTAACAAAAGAGATTCTCTTTCCCATAGAATGCAGTCATGGAAAACAAAGATGGAATTATTTTGCATAAGAAGCATTTTTTATGTGCCAAACAGTATGACTGTCAATTCATTTAACTATTTTAACAACTGTATGAGGTATGTACTGCTACTATTACCATGTTGCAGGTAAGAAAATATGCCAGAAGGGTTAGGTAAACCAATACAGGCAGAAAAGGAGGAGCCAGGATTGAAATGTGAGCAGTGTCACACCAGAGTCTGCTCCTTACTACTGTGCAGGCCTTGAAAACTGACTTTACACTATAAGCATACTTGTTTAAAAGCATGTAACATTTTAGGAAAAGATATAACTTTCATACTGTACTCTAATGCAGACATATTTATGTTGTTTCCCTCCTTTCCTGTTAAACTTGATCTTCCCATTGGGCTTCACACTGCCTGTTTACCTGGAATACCTCCCAGTTCTCACATGGCTGATTCTTATCCTTCAGACCCCAACTAATTGTCACTTTGCCTGAGGTCTTCCCCGATTGTCTTATATAGACTAGTGTCACTTCAGCATTCCTGATTACTCTTTTTAGATCCAAAGATGAGAATTCACATTTTCTATTTCCTCTTTCTGTCTCCATTCCCCATTTTTCCTCTTGGCTCTCAGAATTCTGGACATGCTGCTGTGACTCTGACCCACCTGTCTGAGGAGCTCCCATGCCGGGGATGACAGTGGCATGTAGGAGGACTGAAGGAACCTGGCCTGTCAGTGTCAGACAAGTGCATCAGCAACTCACAGACCTGTCCTGTTTTGCCTCAGAGGAAGTAATGTACCTTCTGTCCAAAGCTTGTCCTTTCTAGTTCCTAATGCCATCCCATCTCATTCCTCATTCTCTAAGTTACATTCACCTAGATTCCCAATATCCTACTCTAGATAGATTCTATCCTTTAGCCCAGTGATTTCAACCCTTTTCATCTGATGCCACACATACATGAATTACTAAAATTGTGCTGCACGCCAAAAAATATATTTTTTGCCTTTCTGACAAAATAAATATAATTTTGATTTGCTCACACAGGACAGTTATTGTTGTATTAGCTGTTGTCATTTATTTTATTTGAAAATCTCAGGGAAAAGAGGTGAGTGCCTCTGACTAAATAGTCAGGTATTACATGTTTTAAAAATTATTGTGTCACACCACTTGAAAATTGCTGCTTTAGCCTATAACCATACTCGGGTCTCTCTTGTTATAAAAAATGAAGAAAGCAAGCATCAACCCCATAATGTCACTTTTGTATATTTCATTTGTTTCTTTCCTTTCCGTTATTGTAAGAATTCTTCAGAGTTTTTGGCATTCACATTCTCTGCTCCTGTTCCATTCTTTTCTCAACCCACTACAGTCTTTTACTCCTATCCTTGGCTAATCTAAAACACCTTAAACACTAAGGTCAACAAAAACAACCTACTGCCTTCTCTCCCATTAACACTGTACTTGAATTCTCTGCTATTATGTTCTGCTGCCCCCTTCTTAAAACCCTCTGTCCCTTGGCTGTCAGACATTTTCTCTCCAAATTCTTCTTTCACCCTTCATACTTTTTATTGTTTTTTCCCTTACTGAATTCTCTTCCTTTTGCCATGTAAGTGTTGGTAATTCCTGGTTTACTGTCCTAGGCTTTCATTATTTCTCATGGTTTGCACACTTCTTTTGGGTTTTAAACTTGCCTCTGTCTGATCCATTACTTGCAATATGTTGACTCCTCAATGGTTCCTCTGACCCTCAGCTCCCTCTTATGTGACAAAACTGTATTTCCTAACTACATACTATGAGAATTAATAAACAGAAACTTCATTTAAAGTGGAGTCAGGAGGCAAGAAGAGAGGACTCACACACATATCACTCATAGCACATGACTGATCCCAACAGGAAGGGACCTATCTTGCATCTTTGAAGTGACACTTCGCTACCTCAGCAGGAAAAGGAAAAGATTCTTCCCTGCCCAGTACAAGTTTAGCCAATGCAAATCACTACTTTGCCATTTGCAACAGCATGGATGGACCTAGAATGTGGATGGATTATGCGAAGTGAAATAAGTCAGAGAAAGACAAATACTGTATGATTTCATGTGCATGTGGAATCTAAAGAACAAAATAAACAAGCAAACAAAACAGAAGCAGACTTACAGACATAGAGAACAAATTGAGGGTAGCCCAATGGGAGGGGGGCTTGAAGGGCTGGGTGGAATGTTGCGCGTGGGTCACCGGCTAGCAGTGACCACGGAACGCTGTGGATGGCTCGACAATAAACACGCGAGAAATAACAACATGCACAGAGACAGACTAGTTTCTGTGGGGAAGTAGGGACGAAATGGCCACCCCCCCTAGTGGGGAGCGCGCCGATCCACCGTCCATACCTGCTTTTATTAGGCTCATTTTGCATAATAACTCAGGTAACGTACAATACTCATTAGGGGAAGTAAGGAATATAGAAAACAAAGAGCTCTGCCGGTCTATTGAGTTGGGGGGTCAAAGAGCTGTAAGGCTGAGGAACAAACTAGCTTCCTCCTAAGACCCTTCTCATTCAACTGAGAGCATTCTTGAACAAAGAAGGTTTCACAGTAATTTACATGTTCTTTCTTAGGCCTGATCACCCCGGGAAATCCGCACTTCCCAGTACCGAGCTGTACTTCCCTGTCATTGTTTCAGGCTTAGGTGGAGCAAGGGAACTAAGGCCACCGAGAGATAAGGAGATTTTCTTCCGGACGCTGAGAACTCAGACTTTGTCAAAGCCGAGGAGTGAGGGTCCATCACCCCCTTTTGCTGCAGCCCCCCAAGTCCTTCTTTTGGGGGGCCTCCCAAAGTGATCGTGCCTGGCTTGGGTTGTTCCCTCCGTGGGGAATCTTACCCGTCTTTGGCTAACCGACCAAGCTTTTGGGGGTTCAGTTATGAACAAAGCAGCAGA